AACCAAATAAGTTTAAACTTACCTGTGTCTCCGCCGCAAGCTCCCGTCCGAAGATCTGAAGATTCTCAAGCGGCCGCAAAGGATGATGGGGTGGGCGCATGATGGGGGTAGTTCAGTTCTTCAGCCGGGAGAAGAGGAGAGATGCAGGGTAAGTCAATGCACACAGTGTGCACCTGCACAGACTCAGTGGGACAGGAAGATACAGGAGTCAGTGCTGGATCAGAGACCGGCACCATCACTGGAGGGACTCCTGAAAACTACAGGAAAGAAACGTGTGACTTTGTTCTGAAACAAAAATCTGGATCGTTCAGAAACTTTGGATGGATCTGAAATCCAAACTGAAACAAATTTCGGGTCCGAAATCTGAAAAACGAAATAAATAAAAGTCCGAATCGATTCAAAACAAAATTGTTTGCGGGGTTATGTCTAATTGTACAGCTAGCCACACATGTTACAATTTCTTCTTTCAAAACAGTTTTCTGATTTTGTTTTTTTAACTATTCAACCTGACTTTAGTTGACTGTGTGAGAGTATCTTTGTCACGCTGCGTGAAGGTATCTTCCTCACTGTCCACATAGTCTGTTGTGCACCTGGCGAACCCCACGATTGTGAGCACACAGTGTAACAGAGGCCTGGACCCTGACCGGGAAATCTTCCATTCTTTCCCACAACCCCACTGTACAACAAGGGAGCACCAGCTGTGGAAAATGGGTAGTGATGGTGGCAGAGCTCCAAGTCTGTTCAATTTGAAACCTCAGTACCCCATATATCCAGGAGTAGTGGTCCACTCAAGCCTGCTCAAAACTGTGACCACGCCCCTTCCCCATGGCCTAAGCATCGGGTGGCAGTTGCGGCAGGGGCATCCCACTCCCCTTTGTGATGTATAGTTACGGTTAGGGGAATGCCACTGCTGCCACTTATTGGGCCGGGTTGGGGGAGTGTCGGTCATAGTTTTGAGCAGGCATAGGCAGACCGGGGCTACACCAAGCCAAAAACCTTATTTTTAGTTTTGGATAGTGAAGGGGAATTCAAACACTCGTCAGCCTTTTGGCCATTTGCTGCTACCTGGGACTCCTTTAAAGAGATTATCCCCCTTTACTTCCTGTTCTCCTGACAACAGTTTTTACCAGACAGGATGTAAAGCAAACTTTCCAAAAGCATCACAGATGCTTTTTTTTTCAGTGGAGAGGGGAGGGCTACAACCCAAGTCAGATTTTTATTCCTATCTGTGTCCCTGCTGCAGATTTTCTCTGGCTTCGTGTCTGGTAAAAACATTGTCAGCAAGACTGGAAGTGAAACGTAAAGGAGATTTGGAAGGCAGTAAAAAAAAACCTGACACAGGTTCTAACCACTGGCGGAACTACCAGCACTGGCGGAACTACGAGGGTCGCAGCAGTCGCAATTGCGTTTTGCCACTTGGGGGGGGCCCAGCAAGGAAGTAGAGGGCCCCCCGCGATCGTGCCGCTCCTTCCCTGTCGCACAGCCACCCGCAGCATGTACGGGCGGCTGTACGAAAGGGCTGGAGACGCTGTCACCGATCCCGGAGAATGAGTTGGCCCGCCTCTTAGGGGCGGAGCCAAGAGGGCAGTCTCTTAGCTCCGCCCCCTGGCCGCCAAGACGAGGAAAAGGGCCATGGGCCTGCAGGAGAGGGAAGGTAAGTTTGGAGTGGGAGGGGGGGAAGAGAGAGAGTGTGTGTGTGTGTGTGTTGCTGGGACTGAGTCCAGCACAGCTGGTGGTAATCTGCATTGCTGTATGATGATTACACAGCAATGAAGAATAGCACCAACTATGTAGGACTACAAGTCCCAGCAATGCATTATAGGGTGGGGCGGGGGGTTGGATGCTGGTGGTATTCTGAAGGGGAGGGGGGCCCTTCATGGTTTCTTGCACTGGGGCCCTGAAGGTTCTAGTTACGCCTCTGGTTCTAACCCTTTCATGCTCTATCAAAAACAAACACTTTAATGATGAAAGTTTTCTCAGGCACCTTGTGATAATGCTCCTCTGGTGCAGAGTTTGGCAGGCAAGACAGGTCCCCTGTATAAGTCTGGTATAAAAAGCACCTTTTTTTTTTTAGAGAGTTTCATGGTAGGCCTGTTTATAATTATAAATAAAACCTATTAACAAATGATATCTCAGTTTCTGAAAGTGGAAAAGGGAGATAATTATTAAATTAACTTATTTCCGGGGGCCAGGCAGAATAAAGTTGGCCACGCGTGTCTCGAATTTTGGACCATTCCTGCTAAAATGACTGAAGTTCGACACAAGGGTTGCTCTGCCGCCTCCCCCATTAGACAAAAGTCAGTTTTTTGTCAGTCAATTTTTCAGTCAATCATCTGCAGTCATTGTCTGGGTATTCTGACAGCATACAATAGCTGGCAGGGGAGTTTCCTACATCCATGCTCTTTATTGTTGATGGGGAAATCAAGTGTTTTTTTCTCATTCAGCCCCGTGTGGGTATGGCCAGCTTGACTTGCTACCCCATTTTCATCCTACCAGTTGGAATCATGGTGTTTCTACACCTTTTGGTTCATGGAAGCATGGAATTTTTGTTTTCCTGGTTAAAATCTTCTGAGCTATGGTGTGCTACGGAGAAGTGGCTGCAAAAGTTAAAGTTTGTCTTATTTCTTCCACATCAATCTCTCTGTTGCAGGCATGGGGACCCCATTAACAGGGTGGTATTGTTTACAAGTAGTCCTTTTTCCTGCACTCAGGATATGTCATGGGGTCAGTTTGGGTGCAGTTACTCTTTTATAGGGTTGTGCAAAGATCACTGCTGATGTACATAGTGCAAAAACTGGTAACAGCCAATGGGATTCAGGTTTGCTAATGTCAAATCAGTGAAAGATTATAGTATTGGCTGCTGTAGATAACTGCATAATACCCTCTCTCTTACTGCATTAACCTTAAAGCATTCTAAATGAGTATGCGAATGGGAGCCAAGAATAGGTAAACTTGTTATCCATTAAGGTAGACTAAAGATTCATTCAACAATCTATTCTATGTAATGTAATCCATTTTACATACTATGATCACCCTACAGAAGATTCATTCAACAATCTATTCTATGTAATGTAATCCATTTTATGTACTATGATCACCCTACAGAGGTGCCTGCTCAGTGTATAACGTAATAAAGGAGCTGTATAATACACAGCCACGACTAGGATATCTCCAAAAAAGTCTGCTCTATGTATAAGTTATATAGAAGCTGTTTAATATACTGATATTTCTAGAATCTCTCTCCAGAGTAGTCTTCTCTGCGTAGAATGTAATGCGGATCTGTATAGTATACAGATATGACTAGGATCTCTCTCTGGAGAAGTCCACTACGTAATAAAAGTTATAAAGGAGCTGCATAATATACAGAAAGGACTAGGATCTCTCCCTAGA